ATTCGGTCTCACCGCATTATAGGTAGAGCCTGGTCAATTAGCCAAATGTGAGCAAAAACATTGTTCTAGTTGCATCTCATAGCTTCGTTTCATTGGTGCGAGGATGGTGCAGAAACGAGGTCATAGCCTAGGTTTGCACGTCGCATTGTAACCGCTAGATTTGGATTCACTTGGTTCATGGCGTCAAGAACAATGGCATGAGTTGCTACAAATGGCATGCCCCTGCTGGTGCTGGGTGTGGGTTATTGCGCTCTCACTTCAGTTTCTGCTGGGCGACACAGGAAGAAATGTTGTCAAGAGATCGTCTTGGTTGTGTATGGACGGCCAAGATTGTCTTGCTATTCTCTTTGTCGAGTTTGAGCTTCATTGCCGTTAATCATGCCCAGCTTGATAATCACGGTAAGCAGTGTGAAGCTCTGTCCTCTGGTGTTAATTTCCATTGTTATATAATCTTGAAAAAGGTTCTCTCTTTTTACCATGTACACTTATATCTAGTATATCAAGAAATGGAGAAATGAAGAATTTATAATGTCAAATCAGAGCATAGGGATCGATTTATTAATTTCTGTTACAGGCTTATTACACACTTAAGACAGCTACATTGTGACGCTTACATTCTTACTAAGAAAACATGTCTCTCTCTTGGTTTTTTGGTAGGCTTTATAAGCATTGACTGTGGATATACTGAAAGTCCGAAGTACACAGATGACAAGACAGGCATAACATATGTGGCAGATTTGGGTTTCGCAGACGCAGGGTTGATCCACCCTGTTGACCCGGAGAACATGCAGCCTGATCTTGCTGCTAGGTACAATAACATACGCTACTTCCCCAACGGGACACGCAATTGCTACACGATAAGGTCCCTAACACCTGGTGCCAAGTACCTAGTGAGGGCTATCTTTGGCTATGGGAACTATGATACACTAAACAAGCTCCCTATATTTGATCTCTATCTTGGGGTCAACTACTGGACCACAGTGAGGATCGTCAATTCAAGTACAGCATACGTATCTGAGACGATCTCTGTGTCCCCTGCTAACTACTTGCAAGTCTGTTTGGTCAACAAAGGGTCTGGAACTCCTTTCATTGCCGGGCTTGACTTGAGGTTTCTGCAGCCAAATCTTTATCCCAATTCCACTGAGACGCAATCTCTAGTTTTGCTCAGTTTTTTCCGTACCACCGTTAGTTTTGGGTTTAATCGCTACCACTTTGGAACTGACCTTCGTCACATTAGGTAAGCTTATACAACTTCTCTTTAACCTATGTTATAGACAAAGCTTTTAACAGAGTTCAATATAATGTTTGTTTTTGGTTTGTAAGGTTCCCAGATGACCGCTATGACAGGATATGGCAGAGGTATGAAGAAGTTCCTACCTGGACAATAGTGCCTGATGCTATCAGTGGGAACGTCACGAACGCTCCAAATGACACCTATGATGCACCATCTGCAGTAATGCGTAGTGTATCCACTTTGGTGAATTCATCAACAATGGATCTATATTGGAATTTGGATGGATCTATGAGTGTTGATTTCAATGATAAGTACTTCGTTGTGCTCTATTTTGCTGAGGTGGAGACTTTACAGCAGAACGAGTTTCGGCAGTTCGATGTGCTACTGGATAATACCACATTAGCTAATGGTTTCAGGCCAGAGCAAATGACGACTACAGTTCTTACAGGCACTGTGCAAGGATCAGGAAGTCATAGCATATCCCTTGTGCCAGCTTTAAACTCCAAGCCACCATTGATTAGCGGGATGGAGATATTCTTGGTTCGACCCCTGAATGAATCTGCCACTGACTCTGGAGATGGTATATCCTTATCTACTAGAACTGATATATTTTTCTCCCTTGGGTATCCACATCATAATTAGTTATTAAGACGCAAACAAACTTGCTAATAATACAGGTATAATGAGAAGTTTGTTTGTCATTGCTACCCAAAGAACTTATACACTTGGAGTAAATACTTGTAAACATTACACTTTGCGCTTAACTCCTAAATACTTTAGCTCTCACCCTGCTATGGAGAAGTATAAGCCACTGTAGGTAGCTTCTTAGTCCCATAAGCCACTTTGTCTGATTGAAAATCACGTTTACACGTATAATTTTGATGGTAACAATCTATTAGCCATTGGCCGCCAAGATTGACTCTATTTTTTCAAATAGATTACTAAGATTAGTTATAGGAGCTAGATACTTTGGTATAATGATCACAAGGACTATAAAAACGATAACAAACAATTGTTTTTTTTTGGTATGCATTGAAGTGAAAGTACTGTTGCTGTAATTTGTATGTAAACATTATGTTTACCATTTTCTAGCCAGTGTATGAACTAAAATGAGTCAATCAAGGGATATTAGTAAGTCCAATAAACCAGTATCTTATGAATATTACCATCTAGTATTTTGGATAACTGTGCATCTAAACTGGTTTCAGCATGCATGCATTTTCTTGTTCAATTATAAGCGCTTGACTAAACTTTTGATGTTCTTGATGACCTTTTTCAATGTTTTTATTCTCTCTTAATTAGCAACTGCAATGATGACCATCCAGACAAAGTTTTCCGTTAAGAGAAACTGGGCAGGAGATCCCTGTTCCCCCATAGCTTTTGCGTGGGTTGGCCTGAACTGTAGCTACACTCCCAGTGCTCCATCGAGAATAACTGCCTTGTAAGTTCTAAACAAACAATTTCACTTGATTCATATGCTTTAAAGTATCATGCAGAGTTATTACATGGAAACTTAATAGAGGAAAAGAAAAAAAATGGGGACTTCAAATTTTTGTGATTGGTTTAACATTCCCTGCAGATATATGTCATCTAGCGGATTAATCGGTGAAATTGATCCATCCTTCGGTCAACTAACATTGCTCCAGCACTTGTATGTCCTTTACAGTTTCAAAATTTGTCCCAGAACAGCGATTTATTGAATTGTATATTTAGGCCTTGTTTAGTTGGCGAAATTTTTTAGGAAATGGTACTGTAGCACTTTCGTTGTTATTTGGCAATTAGTGTCCAATCATAGTCTAATTAGGCTTAAAAGATTCGTCTCGTAAATTTTGTCTAAACTATGTAATTAGTTTTATTTTTTATTTATATTTAATGCTTCATGTATGCGTCCAAAGATTCAATGTGACGGGGAATCTTGAAAAATTTTGCAAAATTTTGGGAACTAAACAGGCACTTAGTCATTGAAAATTAGCTCTTGTTGACAGTGGATTTCAACACAGATATATTTGATATTAAAAGATAAGGAATAGATTGCTTTTTCTTCATTGAGGAGCACATGTGTTTTTAGATCATTCAATTGTATCAGGTCTTATATTATCTTTTGTATGTTTATTTAAACTCCCATATTGAACCTGCTCAATTTTGCTATTATATTTGATACTAAAAGATAATTTAAACAGCAACTTTCACTCTTTTCTCCCAAAGAAAATATTCAATTACTTTGACAGAAATGAGAAGCCATTTTCCTATGTTTATTTTTAAACTCTTAAACTGAACTAAGTTTTTTATTTTTTTCTACTATATTTAACATAAAAATACTTTGTATTGCAACTATGAAGCTTTTTAAGGCCAACTTAAACTCTTAAATGCATGAGGGTGCAAAAAGATAGTTGATTTCATTTTTTTGATGTATGAGTAGTGAGAAAATAGGTATAAGTGGATTTTTGGATTAACCTTTATGTAATGGAAGTGGCTAGAAATTCTTAAATAATGGTTATGTTGGTAACGGAGAAACATGTATAAGGGTTTCTAGGCTAATACACTGGTAGTTGTTGATAATTCATCATGTAAGGGGTTACTTCTCTTTCATCATATTAACATGATAATTTCTAGATCTTGCGAATTAACATGTAGGCTTCATTTATTATACAAATAACCAGGATAATAAATTACTGTTAAAGCCTAGGGAACTGGAAGATCATAGGGAAAAACACAGCCTCAGTATGCCCTACTTTTGCCATGTTTCATGAGATGATCATGTCATCTATCTATTTTGCGCATGTTGGATATACCATATACTACTTGTCCAAATTGGTGGCAATGATATTCAAGTATTCCGATGTCCAAAAGTTTCTACTGAAAATACCTACTTCAGCACTTGTTTTTGACTGTTTCATTTTGCTTTTTGTGATTTCCAGGGATCTGTCTCACAACAATCTGACTGGACCAATACCTGATTTTCTAGGTCAACTGCCATCACTTTCATTTCTGTAAGCTTTCCTGCTGATCGACCTGCATACTGTAATACTGCTCAAACTCCTCTTTTCATGTTTACTTTCTCGTGTTTTGTAGGGATTTGTCCAGCAACAACCTCCGTGGTTCAATACCTAATAATCTGCTACAAAGATCTCAGATAGGAGTGCTGACACTAAGGTTCATACGGTTGCACCTGCTTGCCAATTATCTTTTGTATTGTATCACTTTATGGAATCTGTTAATAGCACTTAATATATCACTAGCTTACAAAAAAGAATGTGCATGGTTTCCAAATCCCATTAAGATATATATATATATATATATATATATATATATATATATATATATATATATATATTGTAGTACTGCCAGGGATAATGTTTATTTATACGACATGTATGACGGAAAATAAGAGAGTGAGAGGGCTGTTTTACTGAAAAGAGGCCACTTAGTAATTTAATCTCTCCATTTACTGCTTAAGTCTGCCGGAACTGTAGTTTAGCCTTCCCCTCAATTGCATACTTGATTCTATATATATATGAAACTATGGATGATGAGGGGTCTCGTGTTCATAAATTTCAATATTGATCAGTAGCTAATACATGTATATTACATATTCTAATAATAGCCAGGCTAACTATCATATAGTATTCGTTTCAAAAAAAAATCATATAGTGAAGTCAGGACTCTATAACACAGGATCTTTGCAGCAATTGGTGAACAAGTTTTTATCACTTCATTCTAGTCCAGCTATTTATATACAATCTTTCACAAATTAATATTGTGTTTGCTAGGGTTGACAACAATCCAAACCTATGTACAAATCATACTTGTGACCCCATTCGAAACCCACAATGTCTGAGGTTTCGGAGGGATTAAGGGAGAGCCTGCAACTGGAGACCTTGTCACACTCCAAGAGGAGTGGTTCAATTGGGACCAATGGTTCAGCGCTCAATGAAACTGAATCCGTTGGTGCGCTGGAGTCAGAACAGATTGAAGAAACTCTACCCCGGTGACATTGCAGCTGAATCACCCACATCTTTATGTACTACATGGAATCTTTTTCTGCTCACGGAAATACATAACTGTGACTTTGTATAATATTTGAGAACTATTCAAGTACTCCTGGTCAACAATGAGAGGGCTCTCTGATCCTTGAACCCACAACCTGTAACATGACTGCGCTTGTCATGACTGCAATCCCAAATACAAGAAATACTCTTATATAAGTCAATTTTCAGCAAAGATTCTAAAAAGAAATGTCATACATTTATTAGGAAGCTTTCAAACTAGTTAACTAGTTCAATGCATATATTTTTAAGAGCCCAACAAGTAGAGCATGAGAATCTAAATATCAAATTCTCTATAAACTTCACATAGTGAAACACAAGCAGTAATAATTCAGCAAAGCTCACATGGCATACTTGTTTAAGGGCAGCTGCAGTAGATGTAACATAGTATAGCACACAAGTAGATGCCTCTGCAGAAGAGATCACCATGGTATAAATAGGGTTAGCACAAGTAGATGCCCCTGCAGATGGTTTGCGATTGACTAGTAGAAATTAAATGACAGGCTTACTTGAACCATTCTGGTATACTAAGTTCCGAATACCATTAAATTTAAGGTCACACATCTGCAAGGCAAAAGCAAGTGGGTTTTAATTTAAGGTCAATTATATGCCATGATAATACTTAACAAGGCATACATTGCATATATTCAACTAACAGTAATGCAAGTAGTGTAGAACAAGGCATACATTGCATATATTCAACTAAAAGTTCCAAAAATCTGTTCAGGTGTATGAACTCATACACCACCATCAACGAATCTGGGTTGCTGCTGCTGTGAATGAACATCATAGAGGCAAATATTACTCTGAACTGTGTAGATGAACATAACAGCTACATGAACTGCCGCAGGGACCAAACCAGGCAAACAAAGAAAAAATAACAGTAGTTCTCTGAACCTGAAAGTGGAACGAGCTGCTGCAGTTTAACTTTGAACACACGTCCTCATGGAGCTCCAAAAATAAACCTGCAGGTTGAAAGATAATTGCGCTGCTGAAAGAGAAGGCCACCAGAAATAGCTACTAGAGAAAATCCAAACAAAAAGCACACGACTCAAGGTGTGCACTGGACAAACACGACGCCTACTGCGGCACCGACCTCCTGCGCCATCCCTGCCACTGTCGCTGAACTGGTACACCATGGATCTGGCCTCTCTACCATGGCGCCTAACGGATCTGGCGTCCCCATTGACCAGGCGAAGCCGTCAAGACCCAGGCCATTGCAGCACAGATCCGAATAGAAATAGACAAACTCAAGTTAGGGATTGGGTATTTTCACACAGCACGAAGGGAGTGATGGACCTCTGGTGATGCTCGGCGTCTCGCTCAGTAGGAAGAGGAGGGGCGGCGCCGGCCCCAGTCATCACAACGCGGCTGGCCGGGCGGCGGCGGCAGCATGGGTCAGGCGGCGCGGTGGTTGGGGGCCGGCGGCGTACATGGGAGGCTGAGGCACCGACGGCGCGGCTGGAAGGGGCGACGCCGGTAGCGGCCCAGCCGGAGGAGAGAGCAGGGAGAGGTGGGCGGCGTCACGAGAGAAGGGACCGGGAGAGAGAGAGAGAGAGCCGAGGGAGAGAGAGGCTTCGTGAGGAAGACATCGGCTGGGGGAAAACGCACATACTATCCTCATTTTCATTTTTTATTTTTTTTTATCATCTTCTTTTCTTTTTTAATGGTATAAACTGTGATATCAAGCTCTTATTAGTTCCACCAACTTTACACCTCCAAAGTTTACACAGTGCAAGATTCTCCATCATCTCACATCACATCAAATCTTTGGACACATGCATAAAGTATTAAATGTCGTTAAAAAAATAACTAATTACACAGTTTGGTTGTACTTTACGAGACGAACGTTTTAAGCCTAATTAGTCAACGGTTGAACAATTATTACCAAATACAAACGAAATACTACAGTACCACTACAGTACACCGTGCTTTTTGATGTGTAAAGTTTGGGCAACTAAACAACCCCCAATATATGTTATATCAATGTACGACACCGCTTGGAATTCAATAAGAGGCATAAATTACACCCATGATTTGTGACGATTATGTTTATCTATCAGTGACACTATTCAATCATCCATCACAGATTTTTCTCAGCTAAGATACAAAACGTCACGGAATAGAGCTTTTTATGATGGTTTCTTTTAACGCCACGTCTTAACGTCTTAACCGTCATGTATAAGGGTATTTTTTTATAGTACGTCCAAACTATAACACAAAAAAATAGAAAATGTCGAACCAGAAATTTTTTGATGATACGATTTTATTCCTGGACGTTTATTTATTTGCAAGACAAATACATGTAGAGAATACATGCTAAGTCTCGTACCCAGGTCTTGATGCTGCCGCTGCATGTAGTCATTGCACTTGTTTGAAGTACCTTTGCTTTCCAGTTGCCACTTGGTCAGCTTCTGTGACACCCGGGGAGCATGGCCTTTCGTTGCACTCTGGACGTGGATGTATTTAAAGATGCCCGTGATTCATGAGAGTGCGGAGTGCATGATCCTTGATGCCTATGTTTGGCATGTGAGGGACGGAGAGAATACACATGTGAATCCATGGCAGTGTTTAGTTCTCCCAAACTCCTAACTTTGACACTATGTAACAAGAAGATTCTCCGTCACATCAAACTTGCGGTACATATATGGAGTACTAAATGTAGATGAAATAAAAAACTAATTGCACAGTTTAGTTGAACTTTGCGAGACGAATTTTTTGAGCCTAATTAGTCAATGTTTGGACAATAATTCCAAAATACAAACGAAATTGCTACAGTGTTTGCCGTCACATCAAACACTGTGCAAATGCCGATTCCGGCCGAACTAAACAAGGGCCATCTTGGATTAGTAGCTCGTATTGTTTCCATACAACACATGCACTAACACACCATGGTGGAACAATGAAAAAAAAACAAAAACCTGAACATTATGGGAATCATAAAAGAATTGAAAAACATTAGCGGAGCAAATTTTGTTGAACAAATAAAAAAGTAACATGGACCAAAATCAAAAAGGAGGAAAAAAAATAAGCCTAACACAACCATACATACTATTTCAGCATAAGCTAAATTTTAGCATAAACGAACAGGGCGCATATTTGTTTTATGGGAAGAACTAACAAAGCATAGGTCATAAGAAAATGTGTCGTTTATTGTTTGTAATGGGAGTGAAGAATAATTTGGGCCAAAATCGGGCCCACGTAACAGTTGCTTAATAAATACTACCTATGTACCAGAAAGAATAGAACGGTAACATAGTCATAAGTCAAAATATGCGAACCTGACCAAATTTATAAAAAGTATAATTTTTTGTCATATGAAAGAAGTATTATCACATTTTCCGTGGAATATATTTTCATAGTGTCGGAGCTAAACTTGTTTAAGTTGGTAATTAGTTGTCACAAGTTTCATTCTCTACCATCGCTGACTTAATTTTAATGCAAACTGGTACATCATCTACAACAAGAATCTTGAATTCTTAGGCCTGTTTGGCAGGGCTCTGACTCCTCTGAAAATGGCTTTGGCTCTGGCTCCTCTGAAAGAGCAGCTCCTCTAGAGGAGCTGAAGCCGTTCTGGAAAACATTTGGTAAAATGGCTCCTTCGCACTAGACGACATGAACTCACAGCAAGGAGCCACACGAAACTCGTTTTTGAGGCTTCTCCTGCGCAAGCAAAAAAAAGGCTCCGGCTTTTGACCGGCTCCCCATGAGGAGCTCTTTCCAAAACAGGTGTTTGGCACAGCTCCTGCAAGAGCCGGAGCTGAAGCCCCTGCAGGAGCCCTGCCAAAGAGGCTCTTAGTAGTCGCAGTTTGGTGGAGCTCTTGCAGACAATGGCATTGACTACTCCCGTACAATGTACAGATGTTGTTTATCTGTTTTCTAAAAATGAAGTAGAAGCCAATAAAGTCACTGTTTTTCGCTTCACTGACTCCCACTCCCCTGTACACTATGACAAGAAAACAAAGCCATCTGGAGCGGGGCCTGTTCGGTTGGTATTAAAGTCAGCTGATAAGCCGGCTGAAGCTGTTTTACTGTGAGAGAAAAAATTGTAGATTCTAGCTAATAAACCAGCTGATAAGTTTAAGGGAACGGGCCTAGTAATGGCAGAATCAGCTCTTGTCTCATCACCCTCTTCCATTGTACATAGCTTGCCACCCAACATTGACATGACATCATGTGTTTCGCTAATTAACCTACTATATATGATGTGGACTATTCTGACACAAGGACATCATTCCTCCCGCATGCACCGTCCAATATAGAGTTTCTTCACATCTCCCGCACACAATGTCGGTGCCGCTCTACACCAAGCTCAACTGTTGGAGTCATTAAGACTCCAAGGCTGGCACACCAAGATTACAAGGAACACAAAGCGCTATCTCTCTCTCTCAAGCTCTCAAGTTAAGGTCTAATCACTTACTAAATATGCAAAAAACATGATTGCAAGCCTCGGATATGTCAACTAAGCTATAGATATGGTCAAAATGTATTTTTCATGTGTGGCAAGTCCGATCTCTCTAGCTTCTCCAGTCTACAACTCACTTGAAATCGGATTGGAGGGGTAGAAATAGTCCAAGCGTGCTGATAGCCGTTTCAATCAAATGTTAATTTTCTACACATATAGGAGAGATAGAAATATCGGGCATGTTCGCTGGTTGGTTTTTGGGCTGGTTTGGACTGGCTGGTGCTGGTTTATTGTGAGAGGAAAACACTGTTGGCTGGCTGGTTTGGGCTGGCTGAAACCAATAAGCGAACAGGGCGATCGATGGGAGGGAGGGAGAGAGGCTTCAGTGTTGGGCAAGACAAGAGAGACTTGGATATGTCGCCTTCTTCGCAGCGGCTACCTGGTCGCTGGCGGATACTTGTTCTTCGTAGTGGCTACCTAGTCGCTGACGGATACGGTCGCCTTCTTGTTCGCAGCGGCTACCTGGTCGCTGGCGGATATTGTCGCCTTCTCCTTCGCAGCGGCTACCTGGTCGCTTTGTGGATGGATGATGTGCTCTCCGCAACGGCTACCTGGTCACTTGCAAATGGATGTTGTGCTTTTCTACCGGTGGATGCTTTGCCACCATGGCTTCACCCACCCTCTGATGGCGACTATTGCGTGGATGTATTTTTCTTGGCAGGCAAAGTCAGTTGGTCTGTTGAGGTGGAGGTTCCCCTCCTGTTTTCTTACTGTTCGTTTGTGTCTTTGGGATTCCATCGGTAATCCTTGGATTACTTGGGAGTCATTTGTATCCGTATTTTGGCCTTTCTTATGGCCTTTCCTCTTAATGAAAATGGATAAAAGATCCAATCGAGAAAAAAAAAGAGAGACTTGGACGGCAACAGCTGGTGGAGAGAGAGAGAGAGGAGCTGAGAGGTAGATAGGTTTTCTTTATATGGCCGTTGGGACTCTGTTTTCGGAGATGGGTCACATAAGGATCTGCCTCTAAAAATAGGCTAGTTTACAGAGGCAATGCACATAGGCAGGCCGTGTGTATGGGATGAGGTCTCTTATGAACTGTCTGTCTTAAAATAAAATAGGGAGTCTCTCCAAAAGTAATTTTGTAGTAGTGTCCTAAAATCACCAACAATTATCATTAATAGTGTGTTCCGTAAAAACGTGTTTATCAGCTAAAAAGTAAATCCAATTATGTGTTTAGGGGTTACTGAGATTTGAATAGCTAGGATTTAATTTGAATTTGAAGTAAGTGGTGATTATTGAAATGCCTAGAGCAATCACCCCTCTTAAAAACTGGCTATGACCACTGAGAAGACCAACAAGCAGAAAATCCTACAAAAGATCCAAGAGCAACCCGTCTTCTAAAATTTAGGCAAAGTGTATGGAATAGGAACCGTCGTCATATATAGCACTAACAGACTATTTTCTGTTTGCATGTGATGTTTACAACACACCATATATAGAAATACCACGGTACTAGTATCCAGTCCTTTCTGAAAAAGGGACATGTGCTCTGCAATTGACATTAGAAACGGAAGCAGAAGTTTGTACAACATGCCGATGGAACCAGCATTGGGAGCCATGCATAATAATCACAAAAGCAAAGGAACAATAAAAACGTATCTGCTTAGGAAAGTACTGGTACACATGTACTGGAAACAACA